AGTGTTTTGCACAAATGACTGAATACAAAGTCAGTACTTGAAATGACTTTACACCAAATGCATTATATTATATTATATTATATTATATTATATTATATTATATTATATTATATTATATTATATTATATTATATTATATTATATTGTGTCTGCTGCAGATGGCTGTGATGCTGAGACCATGGACGATGCTGGTGGCCGCTGTGCTGTGTGTGCTGGTCTGTCTGGGAGCGCTGGCAGACGCCTACCCTCCAAAGCCAGAGAACCCTGGAGACGACGCTCCACCTGAAGAGCTGGCCAAGTACTACACGGCCCTGAGACACTATATCAACCTAATCACCAGGCAGAGGTCAGTGTGCGTCCTCCATGTCCCGCAGGGCATGGTGGTTCAGAATAGATGTGTAGAACTCATTTTAGTTTCTTTAATGATGACAGAAAGAAAAAGTCTGTCTTTTAAAACTGTAAAAGAAACGATGATCTGATTCTTTTTTTTTCTTACACTGATTTTAGGATGGCTCTGCAGAAATCCATTTCATGACATTACCATTTTCGAATTGCTCATTTTTACCACTGAGCAATTTCCACCATTTTGCAGGTAGAAAAAACAACTCAAGATGTTAAAAAAAAATTATTGCATTGGGATGAAAACATTACCCTTGAATTTAGTGTTTTTTCTTTCAACTTTTCCACTTGAGATCACACACATTTTTCTTTGATTGAGTCACAACAGCAACCACTTCCCCAGTCCTGCCCTCAACATGGGGTTCCTCCATGCATGCAGCTGAAGCCACTCTGATCAGATTACGGTTCTTCCCCTGAACCTGCAGGCCTCCAAATCTACAGCAGCAGAGCAATAAAAGTTATAAAGATGGACCCAGAGAGAATCCCAAATTTAGTTATCAGGGCCAAATCCAGGCCTGATGTTCTCAGGTGTAATGCAGTGTTGAGCTTTTTTATTTAAAGTAGTCTGGCTCAGGGGCCATCTGCTCTCATTCATGGAAGTTAAATAGCTTATTGATATTTTAAGGCTGGAAGAATGCAGTCAAGAAAAACACATTTGTTTCTTTTATGTCTTCCTGGGGACTTGATTATGAAAACACTTTGTGGCCAATAAAATACATTACTGTTCCAATACTGCTGTTTCACTGAGTTTAAAGAGTGGACCCTTACTTATAGGAAACTGTGTGAAAGTGGAATTATTTTTGTGTTTTGTGTGCTTTTGTTATATTCAGACAAAAGTACACAAAACATTTACATTTTTGTATGCTTTCAACATATAAGTGCTAAGATAAACAACAAAGGTAACAGAGAAATAAATAAAAGCTGTACATTTGGTGGAATCTGAGAGAGGAAGCCAAGTTTTATTGGCCAAGCTTAAAATTGGTAATTTGCTGAGACTTTTTTTTTAACAAACAAACTCAAACACCAAGATTGCATCAGATTGTAACTATGATAACACAACAAAATATGAAGATTATTCTTTGTACTTTCACAACAAAGGTAAAAAAAAGGCCCATTCTTTTAAATCCTAAATTTAAATGATAAACAATTTAAAATGTTTAAATTGATATCTGATGAAACGGTTATATTGAATTCAACAGTATACTCATTTTCAGGAATCAAATGTTAAACTTCTAGATATATCGTCTGTATTTAAGCATTTATGGGGCCCCTGAAGGCCAGGGGACCCTCTGCTCAATTCATTTATTCTTTGGGCTGGCTCTGAATCAGACTCACAGTTAGTCATTTTCACAAAGAAAGACATTTTCAGAAAGAAATTGGAAGAATTGACTAAATTTCACAACGGAGGGTAAAAACTAAAAACCAGTCAGGATATTTGTATTGGTGCATTGGTACATGAAGCAAGCAAATTCAAACTATGATAAAAATATAAAAACAGAAAAACTAAAAGAGACTTCACAATAAAAGCAAACTTACAACCAAGAAAAAAAAAATACTGTACAGTTATTAAAAATACTATTCTCAGATCAAATGAAATGTGCCACTCAGTGGAGTTATTTTTTAACAAATGTGCAGTATGTGAATATTTGTGCATCGAATGCAGCAACATAAAAGAGATGCACGAGGTTTAAAGTTTTCACTATTTTCTTTCAGATGAAAGTGGAAATGAGATAATAACAGTCATGCAGGTAGAAAATATGGGCTGGATCGACTCTGGAGATTTATGGTGTAGAACTGACCATTATGAGACATGGTACCAGCTGGGAATCCAAATGTGTGTTTCTTGCCTGATTGCTTCTCTGCAAGGCAACACATACACACACACACACACACACACACACACACACACACACACACCAATAAGCAAATAAATGCACACAAATGCACACACACACACACGCACACACACACACACACACACACACACACACACACGCACACACACGCACACACACTGACAGACTGAGATGAAGAAGCGCTGCGTAAGATTGGATGCTGTGATGGTGGGGTGTGTTGATGGGAAAACAAGAGCTGCAGCTCGGGCTGCTGGCGTTTTGTTGTTTCTGTTAGAAAAACACCTGCAATCTACTGTCTGGTAAACCATGCAATGGTTTCACATGAGCCGCAGATGCCCCTGATGCTCCACCTCAAGTAAAGGTGATGGGGACAACAGGGCACCAATGATTGTAAATCTGCATCACAGCTTTCCTCATAAACACTCACTCATTTATTTAAAGATAAATGATGTAATTAAACAGTTATTATAAAATTGAAAACACATCAATATCTTTGATAAAACTGCAGTTTAATTGAATTTAAACTCAGATTTAACGTCTCCCTGTTCCCCTCTACAGATACGGGAAGCGCTCGGCTCAGGAGGACGTGGTTGCAGAGCTGCTGTTTGGAGGCGACAGCAGCAGAGACCAGAGATCAAGGTGGAGCACCTCATCCACCCTGGGGGGAGTGTGTGTGTGTTTGTGTGTGTGTGTGGGTGTGTGTGGGTGTGTGTGTGTGGAGGGGTGGTGCATGTGATGAAGAGCCAGACGCTGACTGGCTTCTCTCTGTCTGCCTCTCAACAGATATGATGACTCCTTCATGTGGTGACGCTGCAGCCCTCCTTCCTCCTCGAAGTGCTTCTCTTCTGGGGCCTTCCCAGAATGCACCTGGAGGAGCCAACAGGTGCCTCTCACCCCCTCTAAAGCCAACAGAATGACCATCGCTGACCGGAGCACAAGCTCTCTCTGTGTCTCTCGTCATTTCGACAACTTTGTTGTTCCAACAGTGCTGTGCTGTAAGTCAGTGTCCAGATTAAAACATGTGAGGTCAGAGCAGCCAATCGACCTGGGAGCCGTGTCTTTGTGTCCCTCCATCACTGTATCGTGAAGATATTCTGTTTCACTGTTGCCACTGTCAAGAGGAAGAACAGAGGATGTGAATAAAACCATTTTCTGTGTGACTAACGTTTGTTTATGACTTCCTTGTTATGGGATGAAAGTCTGGAACAGGCTGAGCTGTATGATGTAGAAGACCAATATTAACATTTTGTCACAAGTTTGTATGACATCATGACAGTTAGTAATCCAAAATATGATGTCATACAAACAGTGGTGTCCTCACTGCCACAGGATATTTTACCAGAAGATAAAGAGAATCCATCACAGAACAGAAACAAACACACAAACAGCCACACGGGGGCGCAAGTCCAGACTCAAATCATTTTTACCATGAAAATGTTGAAGACAGGACAGATCGGGGTTGTGGAGCTTAAACACATAAAACACTGGATATATAATTATACAAAATATACAAAACGGAAAAACATTACTCAAATCTCAGGGACATGTTCTTTAATTTTTTGTCAGACCTTATGTGTTACTTTGTGAGATCTTTATCCCTATGTCGTAATTTCAAACAGTTTCTGTGTAATAGACTAGTTCAGGTCTGGCTGTAACCAGGTCTGGGTGTGGCTGCTGACACTGAACCAAGAAAGAATAATAATAATGTCAGGACTAATCACAGTAAATTCTTAGTTTCTTTCAAATAAATCACCATTCTAAGCCTGCAAGCATTGTTTGATATTCACATTTATTTGATGGTCAAAATCTCTTGAGCTCTTTATCAAGACCAGCTACTCCAAAGCACTTCACACTACATTCAGTCTTTATTGTGCAAAAAACACAATTAATGTCCAGTGATCTCAACACTGTAGGTATTGTAGAGCAGTCATTTCATTTGGCATGTATATTTTGCAAACAAACCAAATAATTGGAATAGAATTCAGCTCAGTCTGAAAATGTCAAACAGTAATAAGGTTTTATCTTGATAGCAAAGTGTAAAAACACACAAAGTAATGATGTCATTATAGACTGTAAGGAGTGAGTGTGTCTGCGGTTTCTTTTTGTCTAAACATTAAAGGGTAGACAAAAAAAAAGCAAGTATGAATGCAGGAAAATGTAATTACTATAATATTTAAAAACCTTAAAAACCTTCACCTTTTGATGCACAGCCTTACCCTCAACATCTTCACTAAATAATACTTTTTTTCTTCCTTTGTTTTGCCACTAGATTTTCTAATCTATTTACCTGGGTTAAGGCGCAACATCCAACCCTTTCCCCTGGGTGGTGGTGTTGACTCGTTTTGGAACTACGGTAGTTAAAAAACCAGCTGATAGTTCAGAGCCCCGCATTCAGTCATTCATTCAGAGGTTCTCTAGATCCTGTCTAGAAAACAAAGAGCTGTTAAACTTTTCCATAACATTAAAAAAATAAAATAAAATAAAATAGAGATTTAAAGACAGCAGGATCTCCTTTAGGGGCTTTGTTTAGAACACAAACACAACTAATTGCTAAGTCTAAATAATTATACAAATTAGTGTATTTATTTATGTGATTTGGTTCAAGATGTCTCATAAAATGTAGTCTTATTAAAAGGTTTTTTGCTTGTTCTTTTTCCGAATGTGTTTTTTAGAGGAGTGGAGGTGTGTTTGGTTGTCTGTGTGGGTCAGCAGAGGGAGGGGCTCTCTGGGGTTCCATTAATTCAGCAGTGAGGCTAATGTGGTGAGACGCGACCAGCGAGCCTCTGTCAGCTCGGTGCGCATCATGCCCTGCAGATCTTAGCGCTTTGTGTTTTACCGTCGGATGTCCAAATATTTTATTTTGAAGTTCTCACGGAAGTTACAGCTATTTTTCGGTCACATTGACACCGTCGCCGTTCTAAACGTCGACAACGAGCAAGACAACAACAAGACACGCACGAGACCTCCAACCAGCGGGAAGCTTGTCTCCCTGTGTTCAGAGGTAGGAGGGACGGGGTCCTCCGGGGTCTCCGGGGTCTCCGGCCCCGAACAAAGAGCGGCGGGAGACCCGCAGCTCTCACTGCTGCGTTCTGTCCTCTCGGTTGTTTAATGCTCACAGAGCTGGTGGAGCTGTATTGTTGAAGGTGTGATGTATGACTGTACACTGAGGTTATGTTATGAGGTAAATAGTTTCTTTGTTCTCTGGTCAGACTTTGGGTTGTCGCATTTTGAAAGTGGGCGTGTCATTTTTGGTTATATATGACCTCTGAGACCAATTAGAGCCGCGCTCAGCATCTCTCCTATTGTGTTAGGAGTGGGATGCTCGCACTGGTTTAAAATATAATTTAATTTGCACACAGACTCGAAGACACCTGATTCCCTGCTTCTTAATTTTGCGTAGTGTCTGTTTCAACCTGGACTGGCTTTGATCAGCTCTGGGATGAATAGCTACTGAAATACTTAAACTGCGCAAGCCGCATGGTGAATTGTTGTATGGAGCAAATAGATTCTTTAAAATACATGTTGGGGTTAAAAAACGAACACACAAAACCAATGTGATTTGTTTTGTTAATATTTCTACTCTTTAATTTTAAGTCTGTGTTAGTTGGCTGCATGGTGACGCAGCAGTTAGCAGTTTTTTGTTGTTTTTGCAGCTCAGACTTTGCTTTGTCTACAGGAGCATGCATGGCTTCTCTCCAGGTACTGTGGCGTCCTGCTACATCTCAAAAAAATGACTGTTGGGTTAATTGGGCTTTTTAAATTGTCCTTATGAGTGAGTGTGTGTACATGGTTGTTTGCATGGTGTATCTCACCTTCCTCCATCCCCAGACCACGCACGACTATGCAGAAACAAGCAGGTGTACACTACGACTGGATGAATGAGACCAAAATGTCAAACTGCTGCTACACAAGTCTAGAAGCACTATTATGATGTACATACAGGATTGTGTTTTCATAATTGAGTACATTGTAGGCTTTTCTTTATTTTTTTTCCTCACAAAAACATAAAGAATTCAGAAATTATCATCTAAATTTTAAAGCATCTGTGAGCACTGTAATTTAGTCCAGGACTGAGCAATATGTTGGATTGAAATCAAACCTATTGAAAGTAATTCGGCTTGATTTCTGTGATTCCAGCGAACCATTCCTGTCCTGCCAACGATCACATTGCATCAGCCTAAGTGAAAACCTCAGAGTTGAGATGCACACATCAGTTTCCATTACCTAGATTTTAGGTCACATTTACAAAATGATACAATTTTAGTTGATTCCTCTATTTAAGGAATTAAAAAAGACATATTTCAAAAGATCCTCCTTTAGCCTTCCTTCAATGATTGGTCAGTAGATGGAGTGATCTTTCCAGTCACACTGATCGCTCAGACTCATTCACCGTCACATACACACCAGTCAGAAGGCAACTTGAGGATAAGTGCCTTCTCCAGAGACACATCAACATGTGACAACTTTTCCAATTGCAAAACAATTACTTTACCACTGAGCCAGTCGCCCTCACTGTGAGGGCAGTCACTGAAAAACAGCATGTTGTTTTGACTTTTTTTAAATAAAAGTCAAAAAGATTAGAGTTGAAATTCCAAACTCTCAAGTCTTATTTTAACATTTAGTAAAACATTTCCCCAAAGATTGTAGGTCTTTACTTTAACTCTTTCCACAAAGCTACCAACATGGATTCCAGTCGGCAGTAAAAGGGCGATCCTATTGGATGTAAACACCCCAACATCATCGCATCTAAACAGGCTACACATAAACAACACTTCTATCTTACGCTGCAGATTAGGACATCATCTTCTGAATATGTAAAAAATGCTGTAGGAAGTGAAATACTTCCTAAAATCTAATTTCTAATAATTATGTTCTTTAAAAATATAGAAGCAGAGCAAGTAGAACCAGGCTTGGCTGATCTCCAAGCCTTTGTACTAACACTTCTTAGTGGGCTGTGCTAACTGTGCCTGTGACATTTGTTTCATGGCTCAGCACAGCAGATGGGTGGCGGTGGGAGATGAATGGAGGCGGCGCTGTGATGAGTGGGTGGGGGCGTGTCTGCATTAATGGCATGGTGGGGAGGGAGAACAAGAACAACAATGGCCGACTGTAAGATGAACAAAAGTGAAGAAAACTATATTTGATTTGTTTTCCTTAAGTATGAATAAAGAAAACAGAGTATGGAAACAGTTGTAGTTTTAAAATGTGTCCCCTGTCCTGTTGTCATTCATCCTTCCTCAATGTTTTCTGTGTTATCAAGTAATAAATATGGTTTTTATGCTCACAGATTTGTATGCTGAAAAAGCTGATAGATGCAATAATGCCTGACATGTTGGGCACTCTAAGCAGAAACTGCGCTGTCAGGAAAAATTGAGTCGGGTTATTTTTAGAACGTAATTCAAACACAGAGCAATTCAGAAACAGATAAAATGAATTAAAAAACTAAATGACAACATTTAAGGCATTAAAAAGCTAAAGAATGATTGTTCCAGAGCTCATGGTGATGGAAACTAAACACTGCACAGAGTGAGTATATGTCTGATGACCTGAGGGATCTATATGATTCCTACCTGAGCAGTTACTATGAAATATATAGGAACACCATTCATAATGTTAAAGGGGCAGTACCTGTAAAATCCACTATTTGAGCTTTACATCATGTTATAATGTTATTCTCTCATCAAAAACATACCTGGAGTGTTGCGTTGATTCTTTCATGCAAGTTTGAGAAATCCTTTAATCTCCATGACAACCAGCTGTGCAGAACATCTGAAGGGACCAAAAGCACAGCTCCTCCCCAGTGCTGCAGTTTTCAAGCTTCAGAGCTTCCACCTCACAGACCAGCCCTCCCTCACTCAGCTCCTTCAGACTAGCCAGCAGCAATTAGCAAATACCTGGTGGAACTGTGCATCTGCTGAACTTACTATAGGAGCTACTTCTACTCTGGTAAAAAAGTTGTTATAGGGCGAATAGAGGAGCCATGTTGCGATGACTTCCTGAAGGCGGAGTGTCAAAAAGAGTAGGAGTTTCTTAAAGAGACAGAGGCCAATTTCAAGGCATTAAATTTGGAAGCAACATTCATTTTAAGTCATATTTGACATATATATAACATTTTTATAACAGAAGTTAACATAACAACTTAATAGTGTTTTCCAGGCATGATGTGCCTGGAAAACACATAATGCTGTTCCATTTTGCTATTTTGATCTGTTGCACTAAAGAGAACTAAAGTAAAGCATTCCCCACTTCAAGTTGTCTATCAAATGATGAGTATATTTACCTTCAGGTTCATAAGTTATATGCTCAAGCTAATGTCCTGCTTCAGAAATGTGGATATTATTCTGATGAAGTTAAACTGAACTTGTTTAGATCATTTTGTACCTCACTGCATTTGGAAACAATCTCAGTGAACCTCTCCTTCCTCCAGACCTTCACACAGTTCGTAAACCCCCCCAAAAAACAAAAGTTTTACTGAAACTCAGTGTCTGAACCATGCTTGTGTTTCAGTGTCTTCTCTAAATCTGCTAAGAAACTGGAAGCTGGTGGAGTAAAGAGTGATTCAGCATCGTCAGTCACACCCACGCACGCACGCACGCACGCACGCACGCACGCACGCACGCACGCACGCACGCACGCACGCACGCACGCACGCAGGCTCTTGAAGCTTTATGAGCACCCTTGTTCAAAAACACATCAGTGGAACGGTAGTATGGTGGACTTGTATTATTCTGTACATTTGATGTTATCTTTTAATGATCTTCCTTTTTTAGTACCATAACTGTATGTTGTTACTATTTTAGGATAATAATTCTGTTTTTTTCCTATTAATACAGATACCTGCTTATCTAATGAGGTATAACTAAAGGTCCCTGTTTACAAAACAAAGTTTTGGCTTTGATTTTTGGCTCAGATTTTTTAGGCAGTTAGGTTGACATCTCGTTTCACCTAAAATTGCTGTTTGGGTCTCGACTGTTTCAGCTTGCTGACACCATCATAAATGCGTGGACGATTATTAAATCTGTGAAGACAAACATGATGATCGTCTTTCAGTTAATCTAGTTTTTCTTCTAGATTGTTATTTTGCCTCCCAGTTTACTCTGCCTAAGATGTTGTATAATCTTCACTGCAGCAATAAGCAGCGATGTGAGTGTGAAAGCTGATGGAGGAGCCGTTGCCATGGCAGCCATGCGATTTCACAGCAGCTTTTCATTACAATGATAGGATAGATGTATAGATCATCACATGTAAAGAGCACCCTGGTCTGTTCTTACTTAATCAAAATAAGAGTAGCTGAAAGTGTTGTCATGGTGATGTATAGATTAGTTACACCCACATGCCACTCCCTCTCCCCTCTCTCATCAGTCTGTGCCAGACTTCATTCTGGAACAATCGCAGAAGCTCTGCCTTCCTTTGCTGACATCACTCTGTGTGTGTGTGTGTGTGTGTGTGTGTGTGTGTGTGTGTGTGTGTGTGTGTGTGTGTTTGTCATGGTATGGGTTCTTTCTCTGTCTTTGTTGATCTGGATGGAACCAATGAAGAGCTGAATATTGTTTCTAAGAACTTCTGGATGTTTGAAGGTAACGACTTGGACTCATTGTTCTGACAGAACATTGTTGATTTAGTCAGTTTTAAAAAAGTTAAGCTTATTTTTTTCCCAACAATTGAAACCAGAAGTTTACATACACCAAATAAAAAGAAACATCCACATTTTTTCTCACTGTCTGAGCTGCTATTGTGCAGCTCCCAATCATCCTCATCAGACTTAGCAGCAAGTCCTCAGGTACTAGTAGTGAGAACCAACTTACTGTTAAAGGAAAACCGTTTATCTGCTGAAATTGTTCTTTGGTTCAGAATGAATAAATAAATGTGTGGTGTACATTTGTATTCAGTTGAAGCTTTGTGGTGCTGCCTTTTGCTGCAGTTGCAGCCCCTGAGTCAATGAGAAAATAAAAAAAAAACCTGCATGATGCTGCCTCCACCATGTCTCACTGTGGGAATTTTGGGTCAGTTTTTCACCACATGTACTGTTTTCCATCCATGCCAAAGGATTTTGGGCTCATCTGACCAAAACATTCCAGAACGTTCCTATTGTTTGCAATTTTCCACAAATCATGTAGAGAAAACACAGTAAACAGAACTTTCGTGGCATTCTGGAAACATGATCTTTCATCTTGCTACTCTTCTAGAGGTGTGTAGTTTAGTGATTTTCCTGCAGGGAGATTCTGACGTCTGAGCTGTGGATCTCTGCAACTCCTCCAGAGTAACCATGGGCCTCTTGGCTGCTTCTCTGGCTAATGTTTATAGATTCCTTTCCGTGTTCAGACGATGAACTGACCAGAGCTGTGTGCTGTTGTAAAACCTGACCCTGCTGTAAACTTCTCCAGATCTGCTTCTGGGTTCCTTGGTCTCCATGACGATGGATGGTCTCTGATGTTCTTTAACAAACCTTGGAAGTCGTCAAAGTGCAGCTGCGGTTACAGTGAGATTAGATCACACACGCATGGACTCTAGTTTTTAATCAGCTGATTTGACGTCAACTAATTCCACTGGATTTGTATTCATTATGGGTGTGTGGGTAATAAAGGGGGCTGAATCTAATGCACCTCACATGTTTCTGATTGTTGTTAGTAAAAACATATTCTTCCCCCAAACATTTGAGGTATTTGGCTGCATTTGGAGCATATGAATACAGTTCCTATAACTGATGATAAGTTTGTTCTCAGATCTGCCATCTTTTTGCTTAAACTCTGCAGTCATTCCACCACCCTGCTTTTCTCTGTCCCTCTCAGATTGACTGAAGTTCTGCCATGCCTGTGGCCTCCACCAGGACAGAGCCTGGTGAGACCTGACACAATTCTTCATGTTCGCAGTTATCACCATAAGATTATTGTTTTTTTATTTTTTATTTTTTATTTTTTTTTAAATCTTTCTTCCTTTCTTCACCTAAAGGCTCTTCTCTCTGCATCAAGTGAATGCAACAATGTCAGACTTTTTTTTTAAACGTAATGTTGAAGTTTGCTGGGATTCTCATCTGCTGAATGTTTGTTTGCGCGCGTGTGTGTGTGTGTGTGTGTGTGTGTGTGTGTGTGTCAGCTCCCCAGGTGTTGGACGCAATGAGCGACAGCACCACCAGCTCCACCATCGCCAACGACCTTGACCTCATCTACCTCAAAGGCATTATGGAAAGCCCTTTGGTGAGGCATACACTCAAATACGAATGTTTGATGTGGAACTGAGATTGAAAATGAACACATTAGTGTCATTTCCACTGAATTAAACTCCAGCTCACTGTTTGTGGATGTCAGGAGCAGGAGGAGAGCCCCAAGGAGCCGCGGCTGTCGCCAGTGAGGGAGAACAACGTGGAGCTCCTGCAGGAGATCCTCAGGGATCTGGACCCGTTCACGCAGCGCTCCGACACCGCCGCTGAGCTGGCCCGCATACTCACACAGCCTCACTTCCAGGTGTGTAATGTACACAAATGCACCACGCTGCATGTCAGGGCTTTTTAAGCAGGAGCTTTGACTGACTAAAGATAAATTTGAATATCAAACTAGAATTCTATGTCTTTTTCTACCATTTAGTCTTTACTGGAGACTCATGATTCAGTGGCCTCCCAGGCATGCGAGAGCCAGCCTCCCAGCCCGTGTGACTGTGTTGATCATGAACAGGAAGACAGCCAGACGACCAACCCGGCCCTGCCCTCTGATGCCATACGCATGGTTGGGATACGCAAAGTAGCTGGGGAACATCTGGTGAGAACATCACTGCATTATCTCTACTGCCTGTAGTCCTGCTGTAGCTAAATGTTTCTACTTTCATCAAATCAGCAAACATTAGCTTTTAATTATTTTACCCTGTAAAATATATCTGATCTCATAGTGGATGTATTAATTGTCAACAGCTTCCCTCACAACAGCACATCACATGATTAAAATAGTTTAGATGAGTTAGGTGCTTTAATTTTGTGCATTGAGAAAGTATTTATTCCCTCACTGATTTCTTCTGCTTTTTTTGGTCACACTAAATGTTTCAGATCATCAAACATCCTTTAATATGAGACTAAGTTGAGTTTTGTAAATACCAAAAACATTTTTCAATTGATAATTTCAGTTCTTAAGACTGCAGTATGTAACATTTACAAAATATGTTTGTTTTTATTTATTTTTCTTTTTTGCTTTACATGATCATGATAGAATAACAGATGATCTGAAAAGATTGAGCTCCTTCTCCCAATGCTACAATTTCTGTCTTTAGAAACCCACCACTCAATAACAACCAATCAGAGCCAGGGGGAGGGTCTTAGTGCTGTCAATCAACTTCCTAAATGTGTTAATAGAGAAACAACTTACCATTACAGGGAAACCGTTTATCCACTGTCATTAGTGGCCATGCTAACTAGCCTTAGGAGTCGTGGTTAGCTCCATTTTGGTGAACTAGCTGGAGGGTAGCAGAGAACAAGGTGGAGGGTTGAGCAGCGCATACATGTGGTGATTCATATCACTACGACTCTCCTCCTTACTCTGATTGTTTTTGATGAGGTGTTTATTGGTTCAGATGACAGCAGGAAGGCAGATTATCTCTCTGCCTTCTGCAATGTCATGCTGTTATGACATGGTGATAATTTTAACAAACAAGTAAAAAAAAAACATATATATATATTTTTATAAACGTTAGAAACATTATACTGCAGCTATAAAGGAGAAAAAGTTTCCAAACCGACCTATATCCTTGCGTAATTAGAAATATATTTCCACTAATTGTTGAACCATGAATTTACTGTGTCTAACCATCCGCTTTCTGAAAAGTTGGGTTGAAGTTCACAAGCAACACCCAGACATGACACTGCCAGATTACACCTTTATAAATAAAGCAGTCCTTCTTATAGAAAATGCATCTAGAACTTCCACCAGGTGTTTTAGCTCTTACATGGTTGTGTCCTGCTCCAATCACGTTCCAGAGACGATGGCAAGGTTGATTCACTCCTGGATCTTTAGCAACACATCTCTTAACAGAGTCATAGTTTTATCATTTGTTGGTTGTTGTTCTTTAAGCATTTTCTGGATTCACTCACAGTTTTTGCTTGTTGTTTCAGGGTGTGACGTTCAAAGTGGAAGGTGGAGAGCTGGTGATCGCCCGCATCCTCCACGGAGGGATTATAGACCAGCAAGGCCTCCTGCATGTTGGAGACATCATCAAAGAGGCATTTATCCCATTTCTCCCTTCCCCTAAGTTCTCAGTCTGAGCTCTTAGACTATAATCTACATCAGTGTTTTTCAAAGTAAAGGGACTTTCTGAGGACATCTCAGAAAGTTTGAGCAAAGATGATTAAAAAAAAGAAAAATTTTAAACAAATGATCTAGCTACATTTTTAAAGATAAAATTTTAATTATATATATATCATCTTTTTTAAAATCATTGTTATAAAGAATAATAAAATACCTTACTCAAATGTTATCTGCCATTATCATTTTTATGATTGGTTGCCAAATGTATCCCAATGTTTTGCTCCTCAAACTAGCGAGAAAGGGAAAAGCTGGACACTGCTGTAAAAAAATCCCTAAGAACCCATGGCCAACTAAAACCAGAAAATATGAGGCAGCATTAATTCTAAATAAATGTAAAAAAGTTTGTAATCTGAATAAAAGTGAGGAAAAAACACATTTTAAGTCAGGATTAGCTTCTCTGGTCAAGTTTATATATCCAAACAGGGAATGTGACTTTGGTTCCACTTTGGTTTCTGTACAAATATTTTAAACATAAGTGAGAAATTAAATAATAAAGTCATATGGAAAATATTATTTATATTACAAACATCACAAGAAATAAAATAAAGGGTTGCTAATAGAGTTGCTAATGAGAGGTTGCCATCATCCTATATTTAATAGACATACATTTATTGCCTGTAAAGTTGGGGTGTAAAGATGTTGTACCATCTGTGCTAATTGCTCATATAGCTCTAAAGCTAGTCTACATTTAAAATCGAATGATTTTTGTCTTTGCTTTAAAATAGGAAAGCCAGGTTATAATGTGACTGCTCTCTCTTCTTCTCACACAGTGTGACATCACCTCTGCTCCTGATTTAAATATTTGACGCCTCGCTGAAGGATGGTTTAACAATATGATGAATGCTGTTTTTATATCTTGGCCCTTAATGAGAACTCAGAGTCTGTTAAAAATCAGCATGGATAAGTGAAAAATGTTAATGTAGCAAGATTAGCTCCAAAGTTGTGATTCACTTCAATTTAAATTTATTTCATCAAGGACAGCACATTAAGCAATGTCGCATGTGAAAAACAGAGCAATCATTGTTTTGTACATAGATTTTCTAGTCACAGGTTGATTTGCAAACCCAGTCCTCGGTTAGATCTTTATTAAAAGACAGTTAAATTAAAGATTCTTGTCTTTAATTGTCTTGTCTATGTGCGTGTCTGTGGAACTGATCCAGATATTGATATTGGATCGGTTCCACAGACGCACGCACGCACGCACGCACGCACACACACATACACACACACACACACACACACACACACACACACACACACACAGAACCCTATGCTGAATTCTGTTACTCTAAACAAGAAAAACATGAAAATGTATATTAGAAAAAGCTAACACTCCACAACAAATTAGGTTGGTATACATCAGTGTTGTTATTGGTACACTGAGCTTTTTTATTTCATTCTGTGCAACAGTTAAAACACCTAACAGGTTCATCGTAGAGAAGAGCTTTGTGAATAATTAATTTGAACAGACTGTTCTTGTGTTCTGACAGGTGAACGGGCGAGATGTGAGCCAGGACCCCAGGGTGCTGCTGGAGGAGCTGCAAGCAGCCAGTGGCATTGTGGTTCTGAAGATCCTGCCCAGCTACCATGAGACCATTCCACCAAGACAGGTGACACATGCTAACACCACCTCCTGCTGGAAGCTCTGCTGAAGTTTATTTGTGATTTTTGTCATCCAGAATGAACATGGTGCCTGTTGAACCAATGTGTTGGGGAAACCATTACGTAAAGCCTCCTGTTTGTTTCAATTTGTCCAGGTGTTTTTCAAGTGTCACTATGACTATGACCCAGCCAATGACACCCTGATTCCTTGTAAGGAAGCAGGCTTAAGGTTTGAGACAGGAGACATCCTTCAGATAGTCAACCAAGATGATGTCAACTGGTGGCAGGTAAGAGATTTACACACAAAGCAGTTGTAGCATGTTGGATTTATCTGCTCAGGCTATACAGACTAGAGATGCACCAATCCAGATATTGATATTGGATTGGTTCCAATTTTGAAAAATCTTCTAGAATGGGTATCGGTCACAATGAACCCAATCCACGAGGGCAGATCTATTTAGTCTAATTCTATACTTTATGCTCTAAGCGATGTCGTGCTTTATTATTTATTTTACATTATGTTTAGAATTCCTAATTGCACTTTCTGATTCAATCAAATTCAGTTTATTATTCAAATTGAACAAAAGTTTTTAATCTAACAAAACCCAGCAGATTGTATGGAGGCATTGAGTTGAGGTATTCACTCTTCACGGAAGAAACATAGTCTATAGACAAAACGCTTGTGTTGTCGTTGACTTCACAGCAATCCCTCATACTCAGCATGCACGTAGCAACAGTGGAGAGAAAAAACTCCATTATAACAGGAAGAGACTTCCAACAGAACCAGAACCGACTGGGGTTTGAGAAAACAGAGCAGACACCAGAGAAACAGCAGCAGTACTTTCTACTCAGCTAAATTTTAGTTCAATGTAATTCTATTTAACGTCCTAATTTTCCTTTCTCTTTTTTACTACAAAATTAAATTTGCTTCAGTATCTTTCATAGGAGCTTGGAACTTTCCAGTCTTTGTTTTAAACACTAATATTTTGAACACTGCTGTGTGGCTGCGCATGGTGTTCAGGCCCGACATGTGGAGGGTGGAAGTGCAGGGCTGATTCCCAGTCAGATGTTGGAGGAGAAAAGAAAAGCTTTTGTGAAGAAGGACGTGGAGTTGGCACCTGCAGGTATGTGGACTGAAAGAACAAAACGCTGATTGAAACTCCAGGGATTTGCTGCCATCTGCTGGTAAATTTCCATGTCTGCCCAGTCATATTCAATAAGTTAGAATATTTTGAAAAGTTAATTTATTTCAGTGACATCTTTAACTAAGTAAAATATGTTATGTTGATTAATTAATAATGAACTGATGTCCTCAAGCTTTGTTTCTGTTAGTTATGATTTTCCGCTTCCAGCCAATGAAAACACACTTAGGATGAGAATATTAAATCAGATCAATGCAGAAACATTTTAAATCAGAAATATGGGCTTAATGAAATTTAATACCTGCTGAGAGGTTGTTATTTTCATTCCAACACAGATTCTGATTTTTTTTGTATATGACTGCCTGAAATGGCAGCTGAATGGATCCACCATTAAGTCTTTGGAGACGATTCAGTTAGCTGATGCCAAAATCTTTTCGCAAAAACAACTCCTTAAATAGTATTTCCGCTCTTACACTGGCTACACTAAAACTGTTTTATTATGGTGTGACAGGAAATCTTTGCACTGGTCTTGGAGTGAAGAAGAAGAAGAAGATGATGTATGTGACCACAAAAAATGCAGGTAAACGTCTGATTTCACTGTTTTTACTTCTGAAAATGTACATTTCTTCCAGAGTCCTCCTGAAATGTTCCTCTTTATTAACCTGCTCACCTCCTTTCCTTTAACCATTCATCTCATTCATAGAGTTTGACAGACATGAAATCCTGCTGTATGAGGAGGTGGCCAAGGTTCCACCATTCAAAAGAAAAACTCTGGTTTTAATTGGAGCTCAGGGGGTTGGGAGGCGGAGACTAAAGGCCAAGCTGCTGCTGCGGGACCCGCAGCTCTTCGGCACCACCATCCCATGTAGGAAACTCGATGGCTTTCAGTGATTCAGTTGTTTGACTCGAAGCTCAGTGAACACTTTAAGATTTCTTTCATGTTTAATGAGTATGCTTCCTCTACAGATCTTGAAATAACTCTGTTTTTGTGTGTGTCCAGACACCTCCAGGAAGCCTAAAAAGGGAGAACGTGAGAGTCGGATGTACGCTTTCACAAGTCGCAACAAGATGGAGGCTGACATCAAGAATGGCCGTTATCTTGAATATGGAGAATATGAAGGCAACTTGTATGGTTTAAAGATTGACTCCATCCACGAGGTGGTTGAGGCGGGACGAGTCTGCATCCTGGATGCCAACCCACAGGTTTGTAGACGCGTTCACCTTATCCTTGGGATTTTGATACCATTAAAGATTTGATAAAAACATACTTTTTACATTCTTGATAAATGTGTCAGAGATACTGACACTTTCTCGTGTCAGTATCTCTCGTCATATTTATCTGACCTTAAAATTTGTTTTTGGATCTGAAACATTTAAGTGTAATTAAACTACAAGAACACCTAACAGAAGAACAGAAAACCCAACGAGAAGCTCAGGTCTAAACTCTTCTGGCTTCTCATGTGGTTCATGAGACAGATAATCTGTGAAAAAAAAAATCCTCTGCCTTCTCCCAGTGATAGCTCCAGAAATACACAGTTCAGACAGAAAAAAAACAATCAGAGCCAAGAAGAGGATTTTAGTGCTGTCAATCATTCTGATGTATGTGCTCCTCTTGCCCAGCCCCTTGCTCTCTGCTACAACTAGACACTGAAAAGACAAAAAGCAGTTTTCAGTGTTAGTAAAGAAAAAAAACTAAACTATGGAGCCTATAAGGAGCCTGGGGATTTTTTTCTTTTTTTTGCATTGTCTAGCAATACATACATTCTGCTATATTTTGTTATAGTGATAACAAGTATAAAATTTATATTTTTTATCAGTTTTTATGTACACCTTTAATGAACCTGTATAACCATGTTCATACATTCTTAACTCTTTGGTGCAGAAAACTGTCAGATGGTGATATTATTACCCCATGAAAATAACTTAAAAATAGTTCAAATAGTTTGGATGTACTTTTTCTTCCTTTCATTCTTACTTCCATGAAGTTTTTGTCATGTCTTAGAGTTGGGAGAGAAAACTCATGTTTGACATATTTTGCCTCTGGCATTTTGCACCTAAGTTTGTGGTGCATTTATATCCTAAATAAAAAGATATACAACTTCAGATGTCTCACAAATGAGATATTAACATATATGGAAAAACCTTGCAAAACCTTTTGTTGAAGCAGAAAGACTTTCATTATTCAACATTCTTGTATGAAGTGACTAGTAAATACATTATTGCGATGGAACGCAAAAGAAAAATGTTCCCCTATGTCCTCTATGGGGCTTCATACTAAACCAACCTGGTCCTGTTGGAAAACATGACCGCTCCCCCTCTTAAATCAGGCATTAATGGGAACGGGGAGGAACTGAGTTAGATTTTACTATCAAACTCCAGACCACCACACTGAGATCCATTACCCTCAAATAGAGAAATTTAAGAGAGAAAACATAGACCAATGATCAAGCCCTCCAGGAGCAGTCAGCCTATCAGTCACTTTTGTAAATTGTTGTGGTAGGCTATCAGCACCAGGCTGGTGGAAATAACAGGTTCCATGACCGTAATGACGGACAGAGAAACTTTCTGACTGTAAGATCTGTGACGTATTTCATGAACTCCTTTTTCAGCTCTTTCAGTTTTTCATCATGGACTCTAAGATATGCTCTCTAAAGCACAGGAAAAGTGTTAACTTTCATACAATGTTAAAGTTAAAATCTAATGTGTCCATTTACTCTGCATGTTGCTTCTAGTCTCTCAAAGTGCTGCGGACGTCGGAGTTCTTGCCCTACGTGGTTTTCCTGCAGTCTCCTGATTTTGAGGTGCTCAAGGCGATGAATCACTCGGCTGTAGAGGCCGGGGTGGTCACAAAGGCCCTGACAGTATGAGCAAAATGAACCTTTTCTCTTCTTATAAAGCACTGAAAGATTTGTGTCACAGAAGTGTGCAGAGAGCCAATGTGTGTGTTCTGTGTTGCAGGACGAAGAGCTGCAGAGGACATGTGACGAGAGTGCTAAAATCCAGGCTGCCTTTGGTCACTTCTTCGACCTCACCATCGTCAATGAGAACCTTGATGAGACTTATCGCACCGTCAAAGCAGCTCTGGAAACAGTTTCCAAAAACCCACAGTGGGTCCCGGTCACGTGGGTGTTCTAAGACCTGAGAACTCTGCCCACATGTTTCAGTTCTCAAGACTCATGTTTTCATCAGTTTCAACAGACATCTGGCATAGCATAGATCAGACATCCTGGACCAAATGCACCTGGACCACAGCAGGAACTGTGTGTGTAAAGTGTGTGTAGAATAAACTGTCACAATGTGAGGACTCGGCATCCTTTGGTACCATTCCTTTTGCAGAACTTAGTGTGTTGGATGGTAAAGGCCCGGCTGGCTTGAGGTGCACTAAAGTCTCAAAAAGTTGTTGGATGATTTGAAGTCTTCTCAGTAAGACTCTGTGCATGCACATGCATGCGTCTGTAACCCTGAGGACTTCAGAACTTTCTATTTTTACATTTTACTTGCAAACTTCAGACATAAGCTTTACATATCATAAAGGAGGTCAGACCTTTTGGAGTCAAAATGTGCCAAGAGATTCATTTCAGCCAGAAAACGGACCCTGCCAATTAATATCAAATATTTTTCTACTTTCTGTTAACGTACAAATTGCTTGAACAGTCAGAAACGATAATGTACCAAACTAACTCGACCTTATTTAAACCATGTGTTGCTCCATTAATCCCCACCATAAATTCCAATATGGCTGCCGCTCATGTGAACAACAGCCTTAGCAGCAGTAATAGGCTTTTATTGAACAATCATTAGGTTTTTAGCTCATTAATTCGGATAGCATCTGGTGGTGAACATATTGGTGCAGTGATTATACAAAACACAGAGAAGCACGTCTATCCATCCATCCATTTTCTAACACTCGTGTCCCTAGTGGGGTTGGGAGGGTTGCTGGTGTCTATCTCTAGCTAACGTTCCGGCCGATAGGCAGGGTACAGCCTGGACAGGTTGCCAGTCTGTCGCAGGGCAACACAGAGACAGACAGGATACACAATCATGCACACACACACTCACACCTAGGGACAATTTAGAGAGACCAATTAACCTGACAGTCATGTTTTTGGACTGTGGGAGGAAGCCGGAGTACCCGGAGAGAACCCACCATGCACAGGGAGAAGCACGTCATTTTGCTAACAGCTAGCATATCCCTCTGGGTAGCACACATTCAGAGGCCTTCCATGCCTCAGCGGGTCAGAGTTGTTTTGTTAGGAAAAGCTGGTAGTCAAACTCTATGCCTGTAATATATTTAAGGATGCTAAATTTCTTAATGCAGTGTAGCATTTTTTTATATCTTACAGAAGCAGTAACGTGGTAAAGTCATTGTGAAATGTACATTTTTTCATTGCAAAATCAGCAGAAGATGGTCAGAAGCAACTTTTTCTAGTATAACCCTGCTGTTGAGATGGAAATAAAGAAGTTAGAGGTTTTGTTCCAGTAGCTGGACAGATTATCCTTTACATGGGAATTCTATGAACCCAAAGCATGTTACATATAATATTGTTAAAATCTTGCAGATGGTCAGAATATATAAACCTGATTCATGTAATTCGAATAATTGAGGTATTAGATGTAATCTCTTATGTCTGTCTAAAGGGTAATGATATGCTGCCACACGGGTTTTGTGAAACAAATTTAATGAACATAAAACTGCATTTGAAAGAAACTCTTTGTGTGAGTCAGCCGTAAAACTAATTGAGCCAGTTAAAACAAGCCACAGTCTGAATGCTTTCAGCCATCCCATAATACTGTCTTACTCTCTGATTATGTGACTTTACAATCTGCAACACAACTGCCAAGGACTCAGACCATGACACAGATCACCAGAGCAGCAGAGGTTCTGAGAACTGACATGTTACACAGTTTGGACTCTGATAGAAACCCCCAATGTTGTTGATCATACTTCGATTCCGCCGAAAAACCACCTCATCCCAGAACAAAAGCTCTTTATCAAAAACCGTGAGTTTCCAGTAAGCAAATTTATTTTCGTGAATTCAATTTTCGCAATTATATGGTCAATGGAAACGCAGCTTCTGATCATGGTTCCGACTGGCAGCTACTGGATGATTTTAATACACAATGTTGAGTCATAAACAAGGAAAACTGGTGCTTGTTAAATACTTTATAACTGATTGTTACCTGGCAGTGGTTGTTTTAGTTCTTTTTGGGAAGAGATTGTTAGTTACTGTCTATGCTTTAATTCCTAAATGTTCCTTAAGAACAGACGTTTGTCTGGGAGCTTTTAGGTTACGATCATCTGGAAAGTTTGAATATATCATTATTGCTCTCCTGAAAACATTCCAAAACCTCACTCAATTTTTTATAATAAAATAGATTCAATACAGCCATTTTGTCCCTTATGTTTATGAATGTTGGTACATCTTTTTTTTCATTCTCTTCTATGACTGATGATTTTCTGTAAAAATAATTCTAGCAAGAAGTGTATTCAAATATAGGTTTACAGTACATATCTCTTCCAGTATATCTACTACATAGTGTATACAGTGAAGATGGTAAAAATGTATCTATGTATTTGATATGAACAACTAAAACATTCCATAATATTATGTAAAACTTGTTAAAAATAATGGCACGATGTGAATTATTTCTTGACAATTTGGATAAAGCAGACATTGTTTTGTATTAGAGATGTGTTGAGCAGCATTGTATTGTCAATTTGCTGTTTAGTAAAACATTGATTTGCTCATAAAAATTTAGTGGACTCTGGTTAAGAACTATAGCATCAGAAGATACTGAAAATAACATTCAAAACATTTTAGTCAATATATTTACCTTGGGATCAGAACAACACTGGGTGAGAGCAGTCCCAATAAATGTTGTATTGTTCTAAAAGAAAGATCAAATACTTATGAATTCTTTTCCATCTTTTAAAAGCTCCTTGGGTGGTGAGTGCAGCTATCGTTATTTTCCTGCATGTCATCTGTGATTTCCAAAAGGCTGTCAATGTTTTCAGAATCATAACTTTCCATAAACAAGATTGAATGCTCTATAGCAGGGGTCCCCAAGCTACGGCCTGCGGGCCGGATCCAGCCCGCCTCCTCATTTGGTCCGGCCCCCTGAACAATACCGGATCCGGCCTGCCTCCTCATTTGGTCTGGCCCCCTGAACAATACCGGATCCGGCCTGCCTCCTCATTTGGTCCGGCCCCCTGAACAATACCAGAGAGCATTCAGTGTTTTTTTTTCATATATATGTGAAATTTTCTTCAACCACCAGGGGGGGCTCTTGAGCAGATATGAACCTTAGTTTCCCTCAATGGAATATATACTAGTCAGTACCAGTCACCGTTTCGCTCACGGTTTTTTTCCATTTGCATTCTGGGTAAAAATCTATCTACAAACGCGAATATGTCGTCGGCAGTAATCCAATCCCCCCCTTCTCCCCCCACCCCCGTCAAAAAAACTTTTCTAAGGTTTCTTTCTCGAAAAACTAAGACTGGCCCCCGGCCAGAAAAGGGAACAGTCATGTGGCCCTCGCAGGAAAAAGTTTGGGGGCTCCTGCTCTACAGGTTAAAGCAGAGCTACTTTGCTGTTCTCCATTCTCCTTCCTGTTATCTGCTGGATGTCTTGCTCTCACTCTCCCTCTCACAGACAAACATTAATTCAAACATCTTGCTGACACTGGAAAATGCTAACTTGGATTGTTCTCTCGTTAGCTGTGTTCGCAAATAAGAAATTCTATTTTTGAGTTTCTGACTGGCTGGTCAAACTGGAAAATCCTCCGTTTCCTATTGACAACCAATATCTCAGTGCATTTTTATAACTTTGTAAAGATTAAAAACTACAAACTGATACAAGTATGATGACTGAAAAAATATTTTGTCTTACTGTAAATGGAATACTAGATTAAGTCTGATTTATTTTTTGTTTATGTAATAATGTAAGCTTTCCATTAAGTATGCTTTAATCTTTTCAGAATAAATTATTGGTTTGATTTAAATGTGTGATTTTCTTTCATCTTAGAACATGCTACTGAGAAACCTAAATCTGGAAATCACACAGAACTTTTATATGTATACTTAATACAGTGGTGGAACAGTTTTATCAGCATTTCCAGAGGGAGAATAAAATGTCCTGGACTCAATCCATCTCTGTGTGGGTTTGCATCATCTCCTCATGTATTTCCTGTGGCTACCTCGGTTTTGGCCCAATGACTACTGTCTTTTTTTTTTGTTTTTTTAAAGTCAATAAGATAAGATTACATACTGTCATTTGTGATGTATTTTATCAAAGAAATATGGAAGAATGGGCTTTGCAGACTGATATTTGTGGAAGGAAGAACACTTACCTTTATCTCTAGGCGGTTCAGTAATGAGGGGCGGATCATGTGGGGGTTTTAGTGAGGACTCCACACTGCAGGTCTGATGAACAAGCTGCTCTCTCTTTCCTGCTGGTCTCATGTCTTGCCGTAAAGAATCTTCTCTGCTGTTCTTAAAGTCCTGATTGTCACATGTTTTACCACATTTTCCTGACTTCTTGATGTGAATGACCATTAATCCTCTTCCTTTCACTACTTCCAAACTGAGACTTCTTGCAGATTTTCGCCTTCGTGACAGTTCTGCTCTTCCTCTTATGCAACTCTCAGATTCTCCTTCCCTCTCCCCAGTATATGCTTTGACCTTCGTCTCATCTCCTCTGCATTCCTTCTCCTGATCTTTGTCGCGTTGAGTAAAATTCTCCTCTGCCATGTGGTTGTGGGTGTTTTCTGTCCTGAGTTGTCTGTTGATGGCGCTGGTCATCGTCTTGTTCTTGATCACTGGGAAGCGCTATAAAGTGTTCAGTGAGAAGTGTCTGAGACCACCAGGACCCCTGGTCACCAACAGCAATGAGAGGAATGCCAGACTGAAGAAAGGTAAGAGAATGTGGAAATGTATGCAAAGAGAAGGCAGTACTGAAGCAATGACTGTAAGTTGCTCTTATTTTACTACTTTTTTTTTGACAAGTTGTATTACAGTAGCTGGTACAGTAATACATTTTTGGAAAAATTGATAGTAATTTTTATATATCTCTACAGGTAGCTAGTGACATGAGAGTGTTTATCTATAATGGCTAGTATCAATCAGTCAATTTTATTTGTATAGCACATTTCAGAAACAAGGCAGTTTCTGAAATGAAGCTTTACATCATAAAAATATCTGGTGGAGCCTAATCCATCCTATACGTTCCACAACTTACTTCTTTAGAATTTACCAGATATTTTCTAAAAAACATGATGAAGGTACATGATAAGTTTCAAGAGGATTTAGAAAAATACTTTGCAAAATATAGAAATTTCTTGTCAAGTTCTTGAAAATTTCTGTAAGCAGTCTCTGTGTCCCAGAAAAGCGCAGGCTGTATTATTTACTGGTAAAAGAAATATGTTTTTCTAAGAATACTGTTTAATTTTACATCTTTTTTTTATCAAGCTGCTTTTCTGTAATGTTTGCTCATTCAAGTAATGCAACAACAATTTAAATATAAATTTTACAAAATGGAACCAGCACATAGGCCTCATTTAGAAGTTTTTTTTGTGTGTGTGTGGT